AAATTTTATTTGGAACACAACTAAGATCATAGTACGAGGAGTGATCTTATAAAAGAGAAAAAAAAATTATTAAAAAATTTTCCACTTGGAAAAAGTATTTGAAAAAAATATCGTTGAAATTCCTGGCTTTTCTATCTCAGCCCTGCCAGGTGCTAAACAAGAGGTAATAGCCTTAAGCTGCTCCAGAGGAGGTTCAGGTTGGATATTAGGAAACATTTCTTCCCAGAAAGAGTGGTGCTGCAGTGGCACAGGCTGCCCAGGGAGGTGGTGGGGTCACCATCCCTGGAGGTGTTCCAGAACCATGTTGATGTGGTTCTGAGGGATGTGGTCAGTGGGCATGGTGGGGTTGAGTCAAGATCATCTTGGAGGTCTTTTCCAGCCCTAGTGATTCTACAATTCTGAGTAATGACTAGCGAGGCTGCAGCTGCTTTCAAAGAGAGCCAAACTAAACTGGACTTCAAATGGTGCTGTGTCATGTCTATACAAACTTAAAAGTTTTACAGTTTTGTCTTCCCTTCTCTTTGCTGCAAATGCAGCTGAGTGTCATGCTAGCACTCTGTACAGTGTCTGAGAAGCAGATGGGAAACAAGAGAAGGAAAATCTGGGTAAGACTGAATCATCTGGATAGCCTCAGGGGCCCGATTTAGCAAGACTCATGTATACACAACAACTAAAGAGCAGAGCAGTCTTCCTACATGCAGTAAAAAGGCTTATTCAGTGCAAAAATGGTAGTTGCAAACTTCCGTCTATGTGGATAAATTTTCCAAAAATGTGAGTTTCACACGCACAATGTTAGTCTGATTTGTTTTCTTTTCTGTTTTATAGGATTCAGATGACCAGCAGCTTGTGATGAGTGGCCCTTATGATCAGAATTAAAGACTCAGCTTGGCATTAGTCAGTTATAGAATACATTTCTACTTACATTTACTGGGGGGAGGGGAGGAGAACCATAGCACCTACAACTGTCAGGAAATAAAATCTCATTATAAATTAAAAACCAAAGCATAAGATACAGCTTTGTTTAACATACAGTCTGTAGGATTTGCAAAGTTACCAACCTCAGAAACACTGGCTGAGAAATATCTACTCTGAGTGCTAAATGCCAAAGTGAGGCTCAACTCTCCAGCTGTCCAAGAGAAAAGAGGCACTTATTTCTCTACAAAAAGCACAGGACTTTCACTGACCTCCTATTTCCCTGCTTTTATTCTTCTGTACAGGATTTTAAATTGTCTCAAACACACAAGGCTGATAAGTTGGCAAATATATTAAATTTGCTATTATTCCAGTTCTGCCTTTGTTTCGGGTCAGTTGCAACTACAGCCAGCTGCTGTGAAACAGAACATGTGTTAAATCCATAGTTTTAAACAAAACAAAAAAAAAACATAGTTTTTTATTTTATTTTATGTCAGTATCCTTTCCTGCAAGAATTGCAACATCTGCCTCAGTTGCCTGCTCCAGCATTTCCAGGTTTTCTGAGTTTGGTTTATATCTTGTGTCACTCTACAAAGGACAATATTAAGCATAGCTGTACTTCTTGCTAAAGTTGCTACATGAGAGTATTAAAATGGAAACATGTTTGTACTTGAGTCATTTTTGTGATAAAGTAGCCAACAAAGATGGATGTACCTTGCTACTCTGCAACCACATTCAGATCTTCAGGTCTGACAGAAGACATCTGGTTCTTCACACATGCTGCCATTCAGCCAATGCTGTAACAGCAGCTGCTATATTCACCTTACTGTTACAAGTGAATCAATCCAAAGTTTGACTGACAAACTATGAAACAGCAAGGAAAGGAGGATGCTTAACAGCAGTAATGTTCACCTGCAGCATATTTGCTACGCATGGGAAGGACAAAGGGAAAGACAGCACTGCAGGGACACATCCATTCCCTCTGAGAACATCCCCAGGGTACCTCCTGTCAGAATAAGCCAGGGCTATTGACAACTATCAAGGACAGCCAGGGGAACCTCATGTGTAAATATATGACTGAATGAAGGCCACAGACTGATTTCCCTCGGATTTGCTCTTGCTCCTACAAATGTCTTCTTGAACTTCCCTAGAGATATTAAAAAAAAAAAATTAAGACACACCCATAAAATACACACATTTAAGGGAGTATTCCTTAGCCAGTAGTAATATAATTCCCAGCAGTAATATAATTCATGTTCTTTCCTCCTCCCATATTACCAAAAAAAATTAACACTCATAGGGACCAGAAGAAAGTTCAAGCATTTATTTTTGTAGTAATCATTAAGTATTTTCATCATAAAATGTTTCCACAATTTATTAAACTCTTCTTTTACCAGACTATTGATTCTCTTTGAGTTTTTGATAGAACAGAAAAAAAAATATTCTTACTTCAGTGTTCCAACAAACCATACTCCCCAAACAGATAGAAACAGACATTGCCCTTTCAATGCACTCAAAAATCTCAAAGTCAGTAATGAAGGGTTCAAATAAATAATGCAGAGAACACAGAGGTATACAGCTCCAGTTCACTGAAATCATAAAAATGCAAGACATTTTTAAAAGACTAACATTCTAGCAGTGAAAAATAAATACTCCATTTTAGGACTCCCACTTAAATTCTAATTGTATATAGTTTTAAAGAACATAACTCTCCCATAATTATTTTTTTTTGTCATGCAGTGCTGTTTATTTCAAGAAGTCATGCAATATAAACAAGGTTTATTTCAGCTAGCTGTTGTCAGGTAGCTTTGTACAGACATTGGATGGATTTCTAAGGTAAGAGAGGAGACAACTGTCTTGAAACAAAATGGGCAGTGCGTGGCTAACATCATCCAACCGCTCCTGGGTATCATGGGAAAACTGGGCAAACAAACTGACTCCTGGCCAGATTCCAAGGAATCAACATCAGAGCTATAAACCAAAGCATTATTAAATTCAGTAATAAAGAACTGAGTAACAGTACTATTAATTGCTGGTAGCAAGATGAAGCACATACTTTTTTTGTTTTATTTTAAACAGTGCACTGAGATCTCTGGAACAAGAAAGGTGCCACATAGAGTAACACCAAGTTCACTTCTAGCTGAGCATGACGATGAGGAACCCAAGGCAAACTTCCAGCCCCAGAGCTCAGCTCACAGAACAGCTTGTAGTATCAAATTCTGCTAAATCTCTTGAACAGCCCCACTAACACCTGTCCTGATAATGCCTAACTAACTCTGCAAAATCATCTTTTCTCTTTCCCCAGAACAGCAGGACTGTCAGATGAGCTCCCTCATTTCAGGTACACTCATCTGTTTAAACACACACTTCAGGAATATTGCATGTCAAGTTTGAAACAGGAGCACAAGAAAACCACGAACAGAAAACCCACAAGCACATCTCCAGGCTTTCAGACTGATTTCAAGCATACAGGAAAACTGCATATGAAATTGTGCACGCTAGATTAAAACACATTCATTACTCTGCAAATATGCTTTTAAAAAACATTCAAGATATCACACCTTGAATTCAGTACAGATCCGTATACATAAGAACAGTTAAAAACAAACAGGAAAACTTTTGGTCACCAAAAGTTTGTCTACCTGACAGTCACAATACAAAACAAATGATATCCTAAAATGAAAGATACCAAACTATTTGTATTTTGTTAATTGTCATGCTTTTAACAAAAGAAACCTTAATCAAAATTTGAAAGCCATTAAATCACTTATATGTTTTCTAAGATGGCTGGAGCAGGAAGCACCACTTAAGAAAACAAAATAGAAAAAAAGAAAGCTTTCTTTTGGATGCAGAGAAGAGAAAGCATCCCAATTTAAAAACAACCATATAGCAGTTCTATAAAGTGCCTGTTTGAGGAAACACATCAACAGATGTTTTCCTTGTGCAAAATAGAGATTTTCAGCTCAAATCTTTGGAACATTTATGCCACCCAAAGTTTGTGTTCATGCCTTCCTTCCAATTTTAGTAATTCAATAAAACTTCTCACCTGCACAGTCAAAACTGTTTCACTTGATACAAATTGTCCATCACCCTCAGTTCAGCTTTGGGGGTTTCAGCTAAAAAAATGCCACCAGTTAACTCTGGATTTCTTTTTCTTTCTTTATATACTTCTCCACCCCCCCCAACTAATTTACCCATTGTGCGTATGTACTATTGAATGCAGACGCCCGTTACTGAAGGCTATGTGAAATACATTCTCTCCAAGGGAGCTCCTAGACTGCGTTGTATGCCACTGTAAGACACTTAGAAATGTAAAAAGCAGCATTTTGGATCAATCTGAAGTCTGATGGAATTCCACTTCCACTTTCAAATGCATCCAGTTAGACCTCCTGAAATGGCTTTATTATCACAGAGTGGATAATTTAGTTTGTTTAAAAACTAAGAAACATGTCTAAAAACAAACAGAAGGAAGCTGAAGCAGCCCAAGCTTCCCATTGCTGTCAGGCTTTGTCTTTTCAGGTCCATGTACAGCCAAGCACAGATGTACAGGCAGGAAAAGAGCCCATCCACCTGAGCACGCCTGTATGGCAGCCATCACAGTGCAGCAGAGATGCACACACACAGCATACCAGTTACATCAGTTACAGGTAACATGCTGGCTACAGCAACACAGTTGAAATGCTTACACCATCTCTCTAAATCTCACCATAAACCAGTAACTGCGTATCACTGCATTACTAATGCTGGATTTATGCTTTTGAGTGTCAAGGCTATTGCAGACTGCAGCTACAGATCTGAGAGATCTCTAAGTCACGTACCTGTAGATCCAAGTTTCAAATCAACAAATAAAGGCAACCACCCTTGAATGTCAGCCTTTCCTCCCACCCAGCCCACAATTATTTCAGCAGTCCAGCATAACCTCTGTGTGTAAGAACAGGTTTCGCATCTCTGAGCAGAAGGAGAGAAAATAAGTACAATGCGTACGAGAACAAGTATGAATTACATCTAAATCAAGGTAATGATTTAAGTGACTTAAAATACAAAAAAATCAAAAAAACCCAACAAAACAAAAAAACAAATTAGCCCATTTTAGAGAGAACAAGGCAAGTGCTTATTTGACCTGAACTGTCTCTTGTAGGAAGGGTATTCTGAATGTACCAGTGCACAGCTGGTCTGACCAGCCAGGAAGTTCGTGCTGCAAAGGAGTCCTTCTTGGATAAAATGTGTAATCAGGCTCATAGTTCAAGAGACAACTCAGTGATGCCATGTAGATATCTGCAAATCTAGAGAGACGTCTGAGGAAGTAAGTGGGATTCTCATCTGTTCTGAATAAGCTTCCAAATTGTGCATTGAAGAAATTCCTGTTCATTTCCCTGTCCCCCAAAAGAGAAAACAAAGAATGAAAGGAACACACTTGCACACATCTCTTTATACCAACTAGTTTCCAGAATCTGAAGCAAGCGATTCCTATAATCTGTCATCCATGTTATTCTCTCGCCATTTTGCTTCAAGCCACTTAAATGCACACTGTAAGAAGTGTCTGCATCTCTTGCACATACATGGCCCAGAAACTGTCACCACAGTAGTGAAAAGAACAGCTCTGATACAGAGCTTACTGGAGTTCCAGAAGCATTTGGGCAGTGCTTTCAGACACATGGTCTGATTTTTGGGTGGTCCTGTGTAGAGCCAGGAGTTGGACTCTATCCTTGTGGGTTCCGTTCAACTCAGAATATTCTATGATTCATACTTGTCCCACTAAACGCAGTGGGAAGTTACTTCTTCAGAAAGATAGCATCTCAAGCTTTCACTCCTAGAGGTAGTAGACTTTATCTAAGTCCTAATGGCATCTATTTATCCCAGAGATAAAAGACTACAAAATAAAATTTAGTTTAACATACACAAAAAACTTAACAGGAGTTCATTTGAAAATGCGTTTAATAGTCTCCAGCAAGCTTTACTCCTATTTCATTTACTTTCAAATCCTAGATAAACATCCCATCAAACCCTTTGCTACCATGAAGAATACTACACATAGTTTAACTCTTCTTTCTTACCTCATCTCCTTTCTTTCCTTCTTCCATTCTTCTAAAATCATTTGTGAATCAGGATCACGGTGAACCTGAAATGTGATGATAGGTAACAAAGGATACCTTCATCAATGAACCTGTCCATTAATACACCTAACAGGACAAGAGCAATGCTTCCGAGATCACTATAGAGAAGTTAGCATGTTTTAATCAACTGAAAGCAGGAATCAATTCAGAGCAACCAGTGGAAAGAGGTATTAAGATTATGAGAAAACTCTTCTCGTTGCAAGTAACTACATTTATCTGTGGTTGAACTGCAAAACTTCAGTGAGACAGAAGGTACTTACAACATTAATATCCAGCATTTAGAAACTTGGCTGGATCCCTTCAGCTATACAGAACTGATTACACACACACACAGAACAAACCTGCATGTGTTCCAGTAATCCTGTCAGAGTTTGCAGCCAGGTCATGGTTTGAATGTACTTCTCTGTATTCATGATTTTAATCTCTGATCGTAATTCTGGGATAATCGCACCAGTGCGCCAGCCATGCTTCAGGGTCAAATCCTATTTACCAAGAAGAATTAAAGATGCAATTAGAAGAAAAAATAACACTCACATCTACTTAAACACTGAAGAATTTGAGCATTCTTTATTTCAAAGGGTATTAACATAAATTAATTGCTTCTTCTGCATAAGCACATATTAAACTGCAGAACCTAATTGTGCCAATATGCAATAGGTTTTAATTTTAGAGTATGTTCCAAATCCCACATTTTCAGAAAGAACACACGAGTAGCTGCATATAAAACTAATTCATTAGGTTTGAAGGAAACAGCAGGAAATTCTTCTTACAGATGAGATCTCTGTTGCTGTTGGAAGCTAGGGGAAACTATGTTTCCAGCTATTCAAGTTTCTCCTAGTGATTGCAACATGAGACAACTGCTACTTGGCACAATGGAAAAAGGAGCACACCAGAGCACATCAGCCTTCTTCCTTCCTTTTACTCTGAGCCCTCTGAAACAATCAGGCTTACTTTTCTATTTAAAAACAGACTGGGGCAAAAATATTTACATCTGCTGCTGAAACATGTTATCACCAGATTGCTGGCACTCACATTTGCAAAGGTATTTATATGTAATCAATTACAGAAGAGTTAAGTGATGGTAACTTATTTTGATGTGACAGCAAGCAGTATATTTGCTGGTAAGGTAGTAAGAAGACACCTGGAGAACAGGTCTGCAAACCTCACAGATCTTGGGAAGAATGTCAGTTTACCATTAGTAACAGAAGAATTGCCACCTATCATTCAAGATAGAAGTTCATTCAGTTCTTATTATACTTGGTAGCAAGCGTCATCCAGATCAACTACATTCTGTACATTGGGATGTCCATGTTTACTTTCTACTACATCCGACACAATCAGTATCTGGATCATGAGTACAAACTCCATCCCCCTTAGTGGTAGGACAACGGGGAATGGGTTTCAGCTAGAAGAAAGAAGGTCTAGATTGGATGTCGGGGAGAATTTCTTCACAGATAGAGTGGTGAGGTGCTGGAACAGGCTGGCCAGAGAGGTTGTGGATGCCCCGGCCCTGGAGGTATTCAAGACCAGGTTGGATGGGGCCCTGGGCAGCCTGGTCTAGTATTAGATATGGAGGTTGGTAGCCCTGCCTGTGGCAGAAGGGTTGGAACTCAATGATCCTTGGGGTCCCTTCCAAACCAAGCCATTCTATGAACCCCTGGGCTGTAAGCAAGTTAAATGCTACAAGTCAGGTGAAAAGCACGATCAGCCTTCCATGGCACCGATTTTCTTTAATGAAAGAAAAGCAAAATGGCTTACTACCAACTCAGATTTTGATGTATTCAGAAACTTCTCATTAAAGACCATACTACTGAATAACTGTGGAAGAAGAAAAGAGTACAAACAGACTCAGCCTTCATCCTGTTTCATGAGAGCAATCTACTTACTGCCAAGTCACTGTAGATGTGGTCACCAAAGTAGAGCACCTTAGAGCCCCTCCAACCAGTCAGCTTCAGAAACTCGTACAAGTTGCCCTACAGAAACAACACAGACATTGTGACAGCATGCAACTTGCACTGTCACAGGCAAGAGAAAGGAATTTAGTATGCACTTAAAAATATTCCTATATCAAGAGTCTTACCCTCAGTTTATGGATTATGAATCCCAAATTTCACATGCCATTTCAGTAATATTTTTACTTTTCATATGCACTTTAAGAGGCAAGTAAACAGCATGGATACGATACCAACAATCAATTCAAACTATTTAAATTATTAATATAACCTTAAAAACCATTTCCAAGTCTTTGTGATAGCTGAAGACATTTGGGACTCTAGGAAGTTGGTATTAAATCTGAAGTGAAAGTGTGGGAAGTCACTGAAAGTGTACCTGTTTGTAGATCTGGCCTTTCTGCAGTTTGTGGATTTTGTCCCAAAGCAACACACCCCTTTCATTCACCTTCCGAAATGGTCTAGAATAGAATTATACACATTTGTTACACTGTTGAGAAGTGTGATAGAATTCCTACAAGATTTCTACAAGTATTCTGGTATGAAAAATGCTCATCTTTCAAAAGGAAAACACGCTTTATAGCAATTGAATATTTTGCAAGAGGAAAAGCAAAGCTGTAAAACTTCAGCTTTAGCCAGGTGAATGTTTCTATGCAGTAATGCTGATGACATCTATAAGAGTTTAAGAACAACTGTTGAACTAAGGCAGGGAATCAGCCTCCCCAGACAGAGGGGAGGAAAGTGTCAATGATTTGTCATTAAACAAAGAATGCAAAAAAAAAGAATGAAAATATTTAAAAACTTGCCCAGTATCTCACTTTGTACAACTGAATAACTGAGGAAGGCAGCACTGAACTAAAGGCTAGAGGGACAGCAATATTGGCTTTGAAATTAAATGGAAAACAGAGCAATGGAGAAAAAAATCCCATTTCTATCTCTTGATATAAAGGAATAGGTCTTTTTCAAGTGTCAGAAGTGCTTACACATTACAAATGCATTAACTTAAGTGAATAAGCAGCCCAAATATTACAGCTGTCAGCCAGCCTGCCTTTAAATACTATATGTAACTAAACAAAACCACAAGCAATAAAAACATTTCCAGATTGAGTGTAACTTCTTAAATTTACCAACAGCTCTCAAGTTTAGAGGACCATCTAACCAAACTACACGTTAAGGTGTTAAAAACAGCCTCTGTGGCTAACTCAGTCCAGGAGATTAGACCTCTATTAGCTACTGGAACTTTCTCAGATAAGAAATGGTAATATTTGGACATCAAAAAAGGGTGCTCCTGTATTTTGTAATGACCTTAAAGCAGGATTTCATGAAATACTACTTCATTTTACATCATACCCAAGTCAAAATACTACATAACATGCTTTATAGCCTTATACTGAACAAACTGCTTGAAACTGTCTTTTACTAAATACCCACCTTCGCTTATCATTGAAGAAGTTTGGCTTATCAGCCTGCACAATGACCACATCAAAGAGATCCCTCCAGTCCTTGCCAACTATGAACCTCATGCCTTTGTCCCTAAAAAGGGCAGAGGGTTATTAACAGCCAAGTAACAGAAGTGCAACATTAGAGCAATGTGATAAATTACACTCAATCTCACTCTCCCCATCTTTTATAAATTGATAGCTGAACAGAAAATGACTTCACTTACACAAAGCTGCTGGGACTGTTTGTGATAAGAAACATCTTCTTGCCATGATCAGCCAGCTTAGCTAATACTGCACGAGTTTGTTCAGCATAACAGATATATTTCTCTGTGAGGATTAAGGAAAAAATGTTAATCTCAAGTTTCTCAAGAGAACAGTTTTCTGTGTTCAACCAAGGGTTCCAAGTGTGAGGCTATACTTAATAGAGGCACTCAAGATAAGTGGTAACATCTCATTCAAGCTTTAAAATTTAGAAATTGCAATCTTAAATAATGTATTGATCATTCTGGTTTCCTTATTAGTGGAAAAAAAGCCTTGACAGATGATGTCATTAGTACTTACCAATATCTGCTTCAATTGCTCTATACATTATTCCTTTGATGTGGACATCCCTGATTGAATCCTGTCAGGAAATCAACAGAGCATTGAAGAACTGAAAGAGCTTTTCAAGTATGAAAAACAGCATAGTAATAATTTGCTTTTATAACAATTGCATTCCCTGAATTACCTTTTCAGCTTCACAGAAATGCCACGTGGTATTCATTACACATACACCACCACTAGACAAAGTAAGCCTGTTCTTCTAGAAAATGCCTTCATACTTTCAGGAAATATGAAATGGGCTTGTAACAACTGTGACAGAGAGCTCAGAAGGGTAAGGAAGGTGGGGGGAGTTGGGGTGAAAGCTCTATGCAGAAGCCAAGGCATCAATCACAGCCTTCTGATGTCCTGTGAAGCAAAACACATTCCTTTCCTTGGGCAAAGGGAAGCTGTAATTCAGGCTTTAAATTATCATCACTCCCTAATGCGCTGATTAAAAAAAAAAAAAAGAAAGAAAAAACAAGCCACACAACTGAACAGGCAAAAGCAGCTAAATCTTTAAGCAAAGGACCAAAAGGAGCTCTGAGGGCATTTATTTGGCATCTCTTCAGAGCTGGCTCTGCACCAGAATGCTTTGTTTAGGACAGTGACACTGCCATATTGGCACTTACACTATGTATAGCCCACAAATTCTTTAAGAAGTCACTTAGGCAGCTTCAAAGAAGCTGGTAATGCTGAACAGCTAAATGTATGGAAGTTTCTACAAATGTTTCAGCAGAAGCCACCAAAATTAGCTTTCTGACTACGTAACTGTAGGCAGGAGGAAAAATTAGGAGGAGATAGAAGGAACTCCTCCATTGGAGAAGTTAAAAGTATAACATTCAGGCCTATCACATACACTTAATTACACAGAAGAGGCCTCAAGAAGAGGCTACAAGAAGAGTTTGGATGACAAGATCACATAGTCAAAAGACATCAAGTTGGGAGTGGCCTTTTCTATTCTTAAGTGTTCAGAACACAACTTTATCTTCCCTGTAGGGTACATCTTCAGGAATCAAGACAGTCAAGTTGTTCTAATCATTATTACCATACTTCTTTGGAAGAGGAAAAGAGGTAAACAGGCAAGAAGAGATATGCCAAAAGCAAGAGACAAAAAATTATCACATGCTAATAAACATACAGAGGCAGCACAGATAGACTTCCCATGGATTTCCCCATAGCTTCTTACAATTCCTGCTAGCAAGAAAAGTATACCTTCAACAAGCAAAAGAAGCTTTACTGACATATGAGAGCTTCTTCACTTTCCTCTTAGCCACCCCACAAAGCTATAGAAAAAATAACTACCATAGAACATGACTTTTAAAACAAATTGCCAAATTACTGTTTGTTTTTTTTTTTCCCCTCAAGGCTTACTATCATTGTGCTGAAGTTTATAGTCTTATAGCAATACCTATTCTATACAAAATCTAGAGTTGAGGTATTTCACTGGAATTAATGCAGCAGGATGAGCTTTGTGAGATGCTCACAGACAAGACACACAAATGTATAGCTTTACCTAAATCTTCAAAGTTAGTACCTTGACATCTTTGTACAGATGAACAGGCTCATAGTCTATGTTGTTTTTCAGAAAATATTCATTCACACAAGAAAGGAGTGTCATCTCCGGCAAGGAAAATATATCCATGAATTGCTTCATTGTATTTCCTTGTGAGCTCTACAAATGAAAAAAAAGAAAAATGGTCAGATAATGATTCTCAAATTGGAACACTTCCATTAATAGCAAAAATTCAGATTAATTGCAAATACTCAGCCTTTGCTATCACTCTTCTCACTGTATTAGGATTCTTTTTGAATAAATAGACTTTCAATAAAGTAACTGATGAAAGCATTGTCTTTATTCTGAAAATCTACCATGAAGAACCATTGTTTTAAGAACAATATTTTATCTCAGGAGCACATAAAAGAGCGTTCACAGCTAAGTCAAAAGAAGTATTTAGAGACCTCTTTGTTGGATGTCTACAATTCTAAAAGCAAGCAGTACTGTTATGGGGCAGAGGAGAAGGGAATGTGGTTTTTTGTTTGTTTTTTGATACAATCTTAACTAGGACTGCAAAACAATTTGCCTTCCTGAAAAGAGATAAAATGCTGTATCTACAATTATTAGTGTAAGAACAGACATCCACTCCACAAAAGTTGTAACTATAGTTAATTTTCATTTAAGTAGAGGATCTCACTGTACAGGAATAAATATTTAAGAGGGTAAAACAACCAGGTATCTTTCTTCAAAACAGCACACTGGTCAAAACTGTAGAATAGTTGAAGCTAGAATGGATCTCTGGAGGCCACCTGGTCCAACCCTCTGCCCAAGCAGGGACAGCTACAGCAGGTTGCCCAAGACCACAGCTAAGAGACTTAGGAAGATGTCCAAGGAAGTGACTCCGTAATCTATCTGGGCAACACGTAACAGTGCTTAGTCACACTCACACTAAAAAGAGAAAAAGTGTTTCCTGATGTTCAAAGGGAACAATTGTGTCTAAGTTTGTCCTGTCACCCTCCTTTTCAAGATCAACAGAAAAATAGCACTGAAGACCAAGGTACCCTATAAGGAGTTCCAGGCTGATATTCAGAACTGGCGCAGCTGCTCCAAAGACCATAAGTGAGAACTACATGGGAATTTTAAGTTGAAGGTAAGGCATCAGACATGGTTCGCTTCCCAGCCTTTATCAGACTTGCTGTGCAACTGAGTAAGTCACTTGACTTTTCAATATTCTACTTCTATACGTATGACTGGGCAAGGGAACAGTAAAAAGAAATTAATGCAAGCAGTAGAAAATGGGTATTTGTCACATCAGAGAAAAAACTTCTTATCTAACGCTATAAGTCAACCAGTTATTGAAGAAAATATAACAGTAGGAACAAAAACAAAATGCAAACCCTACACCACTCCATTAAAAAAAAAAAAAAATTCCATTTGTAAACAGCAGCAGTTAGTATTTTTTACCTTTCCATAAAAGTCACTCATTTGTTCCAAGGGAACATGGGAGCCATCATACATTGCAATGACTTCTTCATCTGGGACAACACTGAGGCCTCTGGAGAATAACAAAAGGTTCAAAAGTCACACTAAAATTCTGAAGTAATTACTGATTAAAAAATCTATCAGATTAGCACTTAAATCTGGAGCTTACTGAAATACCAATGTCATAGGAACACATTAGTCTAAGTAAAAACAGCATCTCTCCTTACAGAAGTAGTAACACTTTAACAGCTGAAGCATGCCAAAGGCATTTCAAATTTAAGTCTCCTACTTTCTTAAGAGAAAAAAAGGCTAATTATTGCCATTGAAACTCTGCCTCAAGGGTTTGTAGAAAGTAGTTAAAGCTTCCAACTTCTTAAAGTAGTTCCTCACTCTGCTTTTGTTTCTTAAAGCACTGATGATGTGACAGTGTGTAAACCAGACTATTCTACATTATGACCTTGAAGATTGAAGGAAAGAACACACACAATCCCTAAGTAAGAGTTCAAGCTGTATCAACAGTTTAGTTTCCCCAAATTTAAAATTACTTGAAGGATTTTTGACAAGTTATTACAATACCAAAGCACAATAACAAACAGAAAAAAGACATATCACCAGAGTTTCTCTGTCAACTAGACTAAAATACTAATGGTTCCACATTTTGGGATTGGGTTAGTATTTCTGTTGTTTTTAATTATTTATAGTGTCAAATATCTTGTGCTGAAGCACCTAAAACACTGAATAAATACAATAATCCTCATCAGAAGACATGTAAGTAGAGGGGGAGGACAGGGAGGCTTTGCTTAAAACTGAAGAACACAGAAGTCAGATCATTTGGTCCTTTACACCAAGTCTACTTATGTTAGTGGGTTATTTCGTTTTTTTCTCCTGCAGCCTTGTAAGCAAGATAGTTGATTTCAGTGACTCCTTTACTTGGTCTCACCCCAAAGTGCTTAAACAACTGAATAAGCCAGTGTTGCCACTATTAGAGTTCATATTAGGCTTGCAGAAGAAGGGCATGACATATAAGCTGCTGTGGTATCAGAGGTCCATGTCAACCAGCTCCCATACTGCTCTTTTCAACGCTACATTGACTTACATATCGCTCCGTGCTACTGCTGGTAAAACTACAGCATTCAAGTCAGTATTGTACAAGAGCAAAGCAGTTATCTATATTACAATATATATATATATATTAAAAAGGTATTCAGTGTCATCTACTCCACAGCAAGAAACAGAAAGAAATGCAACAAAATTGTTAAATGTACACCAAGCAATACTAACCAGATTGACTCAGGTTCTACTCTGCAGACAGCTATGCCAAATAGTACTTAAGTACTGCTAAGAAAAGCACTTTTTTAAAAAAGGAACTATTTTAGTACAAATCAAGAGAGAAGACAAACATTTGCAAAATCCAGAGAGGAGAAAAGACTTTTGGTAAAGCAATACATCAGTTTTTCTAAAAAAAAAATCCATAGTCTTGACAAAGTTCACAGTGTAGCTGTATTACTAAGTTTATTTTATTCCACTCAAAACATAGTATTAAAAGCATCATAGCTCATCTAAAATAGTGCTTCCATTGCTGCCCTTGAAAATGGGCATTATTAAAACAGTACCAGAATTGCTTAGAAGCTCTCAGTGCAAGGTCTCACACTTGGGCAAATCCTATTATTTTCAGCAGTATAATTGGCCAACAAATACACAGAGCACATACAAGGTTAAAGCTAAAGAACTACAGAGCTTTGCTGTCATTTGCTGTCTATCTATGCTGGTACATAAGAGAAAGGTGATCTTATTTTAAAACTAAGAAAGTATATGAGTGAAATGATAGTTTTCACTCACTCTCACGACGACTCACAGAATCACAGAATTGCCAGGGTTGGAAGGGACCTCAAGGATCATGAATCTCCAACCCCCCTGCCACATGCAGGGCCACCAATCATCCCACCTAATGCTAGACCAGACTGCCCAGGGCCCCATCCAATCTGGCCTTGAACACCTCCAGGGACGGGGCATCCACAACCTCTCTGGGCAGCCTGTTCCAGTACCTCACCATTCTCTCTGTAAAGAATTTCCCCCTGATGTCCAACCTAAATCTCCCCTCCCTCAACTTAAAACCATTTCCCCTTGTCCTGCTGTCACTCACCCTTTCAAAGAGTTGATTCCCCTCCTCTTTGTAGGCTCCCTTTAGGTACTGAAAAGCTGCAATGAGGTCACCCCACAGCCTTCTTTTCTCCAGGCTGAACAAACCCAGCTCCTTCAGCCTGTCCTCATAGGGGAGGTGCTCCAATCCCCTGATCATCCTGGTGGCTCTCCTCTGGACCCTCTCCAACAGCTCCCTGTCTTTCTTGTACTGGGGGCTCCAGACCTGGACACAGTATTCCAGATGGGGCCTCACAAGAGCAGAGTAGAGGGGGACAATCACCTCTCTGTCCCTGCTGGCCACCCCTCTTCTGATGGAGCCCAGGATACCATTTGCCTTCCGAGCCACAAGGGCACACTGCTGGCTCATATTAAGTTTTTCATCTATCAGGACCCCCAGGTCCTTCTCTACAGGGCTGCTCTCAAGGACCGCTCCTTCCAGTCTGTAGGGATGCTTGGGATTCCTCCGGCCCAAGTGCAAAACTCTGCACTTTGCCGTGTTGAACCGCATCAGGTTCACCTGGGCCCACCTTTCTAGCCTCTTGAAGTCCCTCTGAATGGCATCCCGTCCTTCAACCGTGTCGACCGCACCATTCAGCAAACTTACTGAGGGTGCACTCAATTCCGTCATCAATGTCACTGATAAAGATGTTAAAGAGCACCGGTCCCAGGACAGACCCCTGGGGGACATCACTCGTTACCAGCCTCCACCTGGACATGGAGCCATGGATGACCACCGTCTGTCTGTGGCCTTTCAACCAGTTTCTTATCCATCGAGTGGTCCACCCATCAAATCCACATCCCTCCAGTTTGGAGATAAGGATGTGGTGGGGGACCATGTCAAAGGCCTTGCTCAAGTCCAGGTAAATGACATCAGTCACCTTTCCCTTGTCCACCGATGCCATCACTCCATCATAAATGGCCACCAGATTCTGTCCAGAATTGCTTTGGGTGTGAAAGGCAACACATTAACTCTTCAAGAAATCTCAACATCTCTTTGGAATCTTCTTTATCAGCCATTATGTGCTGGCTCTAGGCTGATATAGCTAATGTGGGCTTAGAAAAAAGAAACAGCCACAGGTGTCAACTGTTGAAATATACAGCATGAACAGGTCACAAGCAAATGGTGTGAAGCTGCATTACGAGTTCAGTGATGATGCATACAGAACACAGACTGTTTGGCAGCTTTACATAGCCACTACATTGTCATTATCAGCCTAATGCTGGACCATGACATCTTGTTTCCTTTTTATGAAGGAGTTGTGTACCTATCTGTCCAGCTAGCAAAACAAGTGACGAGTGCACCATCATTTCACACAACCATACACACTTACACACTAGCCCTCATAATAAATCACCTTATGGCTGCATTGTCTTCTGGTCCCAAAGGAAAACTTTTTGTCCAGTGAAATTAAGAAACATACCCAGGCTTGTTGATTAAAGTAGGGCATTAAGTGTGGCATTCACATTAATCAAGTGCATGCTGCTTCATCAGTGCTAAAGACTCTCATAGCAAAAATCACTTACACTAAGACTGTGCTACGCAAGAAAGCACAGCACAGAGATTGCCAATGGGACTTGAACTCAGCACACTCGCTGAGCGTCACTGTGTGTGTCACACTGTGTGGACACAAAGAGGTTGTGCTTTGACTACATCACACTTGCAGAACGATGCGTCTAAACTTGAAAGCTCTGTGCAAATACAGCAAGACCTTTCAAGCGTATCTGCAGCCACGCTAAAGACATGCTAACAGGCACCCTGCAGCAATTGTTTACATTGAAAGCACCAGTGGAGAAGTCAGTGTATTTTTAGATGTCTTTCAGCACAATTTAACAGCCGGAAACAAAGTGAGTCAGCACTATGTGACCAACCAGCTTGGCAGCATCACCAGGCTTTGGGCTGCAAAAATTAGCTGTACTGTACTGAGCTAGTAAACATGTGCTAGCGTCTGTGTATATACACAGAGGTACAAAGAAGCCCCCTCCAGTATGACTGCAGAACTCATTCATGCCTGTGCTTTTTCAGTGCACTGCTCCCGACAGGGGTCAAGGCACGCATTAATAAAGGCAACTACAAGATTCAAAAACAAGAGTATACTTGGTTTCTTATTAATACAGGCAATAATTTTACCTACCTGTACACTGTTCCTAGCTGTATATAATGAAAAGCATCGATCTTCATTAATAACGCCTTGCAAGAAAAAAAAGTCAACATTAACGGCATGTCAACTATCTGAAATGGAACTCTTTAAAAAAAAAAAAAGAGAACAATTTTATCTGTAACCATTCTGGTTCCAGACCAACTGAGCACCTTCCCTCTAACCACTGTTATTGCTTCCAAAATACTTTATCAATGATTTCAAAATACTTTATTAATGATTTCAACCTAGGGCCTGCAAAAGTCACCAGTGTCCTGAACTTAGTCATGAAGAAGTATAAATTCTAATAACAGTAGCATACTTAATTCTTCTATACTCTTCCCCCCACAAAACACTCAGAACACTTTTTACATAAGATAAAAAAAAAGAAAAAAAAATCAAGCACATAACAAAAGGAAAACATTTAACAAAATCCTTACACAACAGAGAATGAGAGATTAGAAGACTTCAGAGACTCATTCGTTTTCTTTGGCTAGGTTTTCAACACTATGCAACTCTTAACAAAGATACTTATACATACCCGGTGCACATCATAATGAAGTCCTCTTATTGCAAAATTCGGATCATAGTCATACTTCCTTATTTCTGCAGGATACTAAGAGAAGAGAAAATAAAATTGATTTTAAAGTATTTTAAGAAGAAAATCTAAAAACTGTTTCTGCATAATTTGAGAAGCCTATGGTTTATCTGCTTCTCATTCCTACTAGCCATTAGATGTGCTTTTAAATAAGTTGATGGGACTCACAGGAACATACACACACCACCTTTTAACTAACTGTGAACAACAGTCTTCCCATCAAAGAGATTTTAATAGATGCAGCCATGAAAATAAACTAAATTAAAATTTGAACTGCTGAATTTTTCCCACAAAATAAGCTTAGAAACACAGAATACCTCGAGCTGGAAGGGACTTATAAGGAACATTAAGTCCAACCCCTCAGTCCACACAGGACACCCCAAAAATTAGAAATGAGACCATACATCTGAGAGTGTAGTCCAGGTGCTTCCTGAACTCTGGCAGGACAAACTGAAGACAGCTCAGTCTATAAATTCAAGATGCTCAATCTCATCCTAACAAAAATTTCTGAAGACATTTGAGATCAGCAACTTCAAACTATGGCACTATTCTTCCCAGGCATAGGATTGGAGTATACAATAATGTCAGACTTCCTAAAATGTTTGCTGGCTCTTAAGACTACAAGGCTCTAAGAGTACAGCTACCATTAGTTATGCCTTTTCACTTGCAGGGGACTTCAAAAAAGCAAAGTTGGTAAGAGTGCAGACCCCAGGAATTTCACATAGCATGTGGTACTACCAGACACAGCTGCTGATCAGCTTGACATGCCAGGCCCATAGACACTTTGCACCCAGTCAGTGGTTTAATAGAACAGTGCAATTCAACAAAGACTTAAAATCACCTTCTCCAAACATTCACCATGCTACATCTTAAAAAAGATACACCTGAACATCGATAGCATTAACACCAGACTTGCATCTGTGGAGCCAGTACCTCTCAGGGGACATCACAGATCAGATCCCAAAGCAAGGATGGTGTTCAACACCATCCAAATGAGTCACTTTAGAAGAGCATCACAGTGAGCCAACTGTATTACTCCCGGAGGTTGCTTCACTGTAGATACAGACTTGCTTTTCCAGAAAACCACATACTGATAAAAAAATAAGCAGTACTCATCCATTTTTACTAAGTTTCCTCATCTCTTCCTTATCTACAGCATAGATGGGAAAACAATTATTATCAGTAGCCTGGAGGGAGCACTTTCACATACGCTCACTTTTTTTTTTTTAATGCGGAATAGTTAGGTTCTGTATCATGCATTCTTCCCTCCAGTTGTTTATAAAGAGCATAGGTAGAATATACCACCTATCAAAATGGCCCATTTTCAGTTGATTGTGATTTTATCATAATTTAAACATAGAAAAAGCATGAAAAAATTACATGTCAGGCAAGTGCCTTAAGCTAGGGGTTATGTCCTTCTGTTTTCAAAAGGTAAAATGTTTCAGTCATTCCTTCCAATGCTTGAAAAAACTCATTCCTTTGATTAACCACCTGAAAGGCGATTCTTCATTTCCTTTTCACACACTATAGACCTCACAGAACTTGATGCACCTCAGGCTCACCTTCCACTTCTCTACACAGCCTCCATACATAATACAGCTGGCTTACAAGCCTGAGGGGGAAAAAAAGCATAAGTTGTGCACCCTCAATAGAGGCGCAAGCTATTTTTAAAGCAGTAAAATCCCAATTTTTTCAACAAAATTTTAATCTGTGCGGAAGCGCACTTGCTCTTCAGCTGCTGCACCTATAATTAAAGAAAACAGTCCTGTGCTTGGTATGAGCACAATCCTTCTCTTAGTTTCTCAACTGCCATCCCTACTATTGGTTCCAGAGAACACTGATTTCAAAAAAGAATTGAAAGCCTAAAGACTGTTTCTGAAGATGTGCAGAACCGGCCAGGAAACATGAAGCAAAACAAGAGAAGGGGAAAAAAAAACACAGGAGAGGATATGGACTGTGATCAGTTAAAGACTACAGTGTACTGCACGTGCCTAAAGTGGCCACACCAAGAATAAGCAAGGAAACTTGACTTTTTAAAGTTTCTGCCTGCTTGACTTTACTACTTCAATTTATTCTGACAGAAGGCTGTCTTTTGCACATGTGCCAGTACAAGCAAGCAAAAGACTAAGCCCAACCTGGCACACAAATTAAAGCCTCTTCACAAGCCAAACAAAATAATGATAAAAATAGCACTGTTTGCTTATCCCTTCACCACCACTTTTGGTAGTGGTAATACATATTATATGGACTAAACAGCAGTCTAAAAAAGGTGGCACAAGGCCCATACATTGGGGAATACACAAACCCAAGAACAAGAGCTTACATTCCACACTTGCTGCCAACCATGAGATGAGCATTAAATTCATATTTATTCTTTCGAGCACTTGAAAATTCCATATCTCCTGCCACGTATTTTGCAATTTTTGAGTAATTACCTTACATTGCCATGACCAAAATTGGTCATCTTCTATGTTATTGTTATCACAATCTCACAGTCATAATCGACAATGTTAACATTAGGAAAAATTTCCAGATAATATTGAGAAAATCATTAAGGAATTGGTATTAACAAAAAGTGCTGTCCCTCAAACTCCAAATGATTATGTGGATGTGGTTCTGGGCAGCCTGGTCTGGTGGCTGGCAACCCTGCACATAGCAGGGGGTTTGAAACTAGATGATCTTTGTGGTCCTTTTCAACCCAGGCCATTCTATGATTCTATGATTATACATTTCAATAAGCTGTCTCAGAAAGTAATTGGAGCTTCACTTACAACAGCATAAGAGATTCTTACTGAAACAACAAACAGTAATAACTTTACTATCTGAATCCAATCCAATAATAAAAACTGAGTAATGTTTTTATTGTCCCCTTACTGCTACTGTAAAGGCCCTTTCAAGAACCAAGTCACTTTACTAAAGCATATTTATTCATTCCACAGAAATTGCTACCAAAGCATGCCAAAATTTTAGGGGGATCAAATTGTGTATGCTTGTAGTGCCCGTGAAGTTTTGTTTGTTCTTGCAGAGATATTTATAGATTACTTATATATAGCTCCTAACCTTTGGATTGAAACATGAATGGATGGTGTTATTCTACTTTCAAGCTTAGTTTGTATAAAATATACATGCAGTTTTATTAATTTAGCCTGTAGATTTCTTCCTTTTATTTTCCTGCAATTCCTACTGCAGTTATTTATGCTTCCTCCAGTCCACACTTACTTTAGACCTTTTCCCTCCAATACCTTCAGTTTTCCCTGCAACCTATCTGTATCTCCTTCCTTGCTTCCTGACATACAACAGCATCTCCCATGCCCAACCCACCCCTAAGCTGCCTGGATGTTGACAGGCAACAGATACAAATGCACCACTTGATAGCAGCAGATACACACTCCCTCTTAGGGGACCACTGAGCTGAGCACTTATTCGGGTCTCTCACATCCAAGCTCTGGTTACAGTGCCCCTGCACACACTGTCCCTTTAGGTAACTGGGCTGAAAGGCTGAAAGCATAGAAAGGCACACAGCACAATCACAGACCTCATAAGAAGACAGGCTGAAAATATTCTGCATGGAAATTCATCGCTGCACTCACAGAAGTGCATAAAACAATGAAAATAACTTGGAAGTTTCTTATATTTTGGGGTGACTCCAATAACTGACAATCAGGTTTAAAAAAAAAAAAAAGCTACTGCTATCACCAAGTGAAAAATAAAAATAATTAAAAAAAAAAAAAAAAAAAAAAAAAAAACCAACAAAGAAGAAAACAAAATGTTCCCTGACTGCTGCCAGATTGTGCTCTGCTCAAAACTGCAGCTGAGAATAAATCAGGACTTCTGTGGTTTGTATATTAGCTGTTGTATGAAACATGTTACAAAGGAGCCAAGCCAGGGCTGAAGCATGAGAAGATGAGTTATACCTCCCTCAACTAGAAATGACCCATTACACTCTTCAATCATAAAACTATTGCAATCCCAATTATTTTACTTACCCTATGTTCATTAATAAGAAGATCTCGCGCAGCATTGAAGATCAAAGTGTGCAGATGCTTAGAATAAAAGACCAATGTGTAGTCATAATCAAAGCCATAAATTTCAATATCTGACAGGCTCATTTCATTGTTTGAAAAAATAGCATCCGGGTTCAGCATGTTACTCATAATTGAAGGAACTAATTCTGCAAACAGAGGAGAGGGAAAAAAGTTGTAACAGCCTCACAGTTTCGGTAAGAAAACCATTAGCAACTTCTAAATATAGATAAATGAAAACAAAATCTACTAAACTGATTCACATTAATATATCATCTAACCCTCAGCAAAATGATGTTATTGAATATGCTATCCCTACTTTGTCATTGACTCAACGTTTTTACTTGAAGGCTTTCCTCAAACAGATCAACTGAAACAGAAGACGTGTTTCCAGATTGTGCTTAACACAGAACCCCAGAATCAATACACAATGTTTTTGCTAACTCCATTAATTCATTTTTCTTTAATAATTCCATTGAAAATTCACGGTGGAGTTTGAGGAGTGAAGGGTTGTTATCACTGTTATTCTGAGAGCTTTGTCTTCTCTCATTATTTGGTCCAGGCTCTGCCCCAAAAGCAGAACTACCACTGTTTTAACCAGATGTTGTTAAAATTTTTGCTTGACCATATCAAGGCTACCATTTTACTCCATTTCTATCCATACGGATGTGTAGGTTGGATGTTAGGAACAATTTCTTCTTGAGAGAAGTGGTGCTGCAGTAGCACAGGCTGCCCAGGGAGGTGGTGGAATCACCATCTCTGGAGGTAGGTGTTCCAGAACCGGGTGGATGTGGCACTGAGGGATGTGTCAGTGGGCATGGGATGGTGGTTGGATTAGCTAATCTTAAAGGTCTTTTCTAACATCAATGATTCTATGATTCTATATATGCATAGTTTAAGTGTTTGCCACACTTTCTTAAAACAGCTTAATAAGCATAGCAATGCATGCTTACCTTCCAGCAAGCCAGAAACTGAAAACACTCTGCTTATTCTCTTCACACATATTTGATAAATTGCTTCAAATTTTAAGGGCACATTTCTCTTGATGTTTACTTGAGAAGCAAACTGAGAAAGGAGACCCTTTACACCGAGCCATAACTCTAAGGCCAACACCACAGTCATCATTAAAGATGTTTGTATTTCTTCATTTATTTTTTCTTTAAAACCATGGAAGAACAGCTTCAGGAGGTTGTTATCTCATTCCTGTATGCTAACTTTATAATCCAGCCTTTGCTACTAGTGGGGGAAAAAAGCAAGTTTTTGTCATAAAGCTGCACTTGGAAGGGTGACTTTGAAGGAAACATGCCTGGTTATTTTCTACATATAGGTGTAGAAGGAGGGACTCCAGCTCTGAGGACACGCAGACTACATGCTCCACCACGAGAGGAAACCAAAGCAATGAGACAGGCAGGCATGGCTACTGCAGATCTTTTAGAAACATCATTCTTCTTTTTGAAAAATCTGACCAACTCACAGGAAGGGAAAGAGCATTTCTTTCATAAAAGCAATGTGTTAGCTCGCTGCACAGCTAACAGGCAAGTGCTACAAGGAATTTAGAGATGGCCGATATTCCAGTAATCTGAACCCATTCAGACACACACACCTGCTATTCACTGAGAACAGCAGTTTTACCAGGTTTCCTTCCAAGTTTCCTATGCAGTGCTGCATCTCATTCACTCAGTAGGATAGCAGGAGTTTGCCATGCTGAAGCTGATGTGCAAAGCTACATCCTTCATAAACAATCACTGGGGAGATGTAACAAAATAAGCCTCAACCAAAACATTACCTCCTCCTGCCTCCGGTCATCTCTCATGAAAATACAGTAGATAATTCTCATGCTCAGTTGAGATGAGGAAAAAAAAATACAAAACCAAGTGCAATTTGACACGCTACTATTAAAACAAACACTCTTATTCTATCAAAGAGGTCACGAATCATTTAATTCCTTGAAGTCCTAACTTGAGTTTTAAGTGAACTTCCGAAGGGATGTTATTTAAACTATAACGTAGGAACGGATGTTGTACTTTTTCCAAACACCAACTGTGGAGCCTGGTGAGACAACACATTTCAAGCAGATATTTCACACAAACCAAAAAAAAAAAAACCAAAAAAACCAAACACCACACATTAACCAGCAGCTGCTTGAAAAATGACATCATGAACAGCTAGCTATTAGATATTCCAGCTTGCAGACAGAACCTATAGAACTTGGATCAACAAAGTCAGGACAGGTTAGTCATCTTAGCATCCCAATGAAACAAAAATGGCAGATACCTGAAGCCATTTGGCAATTCAGGCAGTAACAAAGTATTCTGACTGACTCTAAAAGCACTTGCCTCCCCTGCCACTGACCCATACCCATCCAGCACCTGCCTCTTCCCTTAATGCTGCCCTACACTCTGACCTCAGTTCTAAAGTATTACAGGGTGTGGATTGGGGAATAAAGATAACTCCAAAAGCAGGAAAGGAAAAAAAAAAAAGAAAGACTAAAAATAAAAAGCAATCTCTCTCCTCTTTTGCTCCCTCATCCCACTGTCCCAAGCCTACAGTACCTTTCAGACATCTGCAGCACTGGTCTTATTTCACCGCTGCAATGCTGCCCACTTTATTTGCACCCAGACAAAAGCCATCACCAGAGCTCATGGCTCAGGATTCTCAGGTTGTCTTATGTTGCAAATTTTGTTTGTTTCCCTTCTGCAAGAGGCAAAACATGCAAGACTATGGCAATATTCAGATGAGCACTGCTTTCTTGCTTGACAGCACTGAAACAACCTACCTCTTAGTAATATCCAAGCAGCTCCATCACACTAAGCATCCAAACAAGGATGGGAGCAAACTATATTTCAAGGAATCATAGAATGGTTCGAGTAGGAAGGAACCTTAAAGACCACTCAGTTCCAACCCCTGCCATGAGCAGGGCTGCTCCCCAGCAGCTCAGGCTGCCCAGGGCCCCATCCAACCTGGCCTTGAGTGCCGGCAGTGATGGGGCACCCACAACTCCCCTGTGCAGTGCCTCGCTACCCAATTTTGCATTTGTACGACGACTTCTACAGCCTGCCAGACAGCAACCAAGCAGTGAGTTCTAGGGCAGGACACCAACACACGGGCACAGAATTCCCTGCATTTCCGTGGAACTGAGGCATTTCCACAGCCCTAACTTTCTGCCCAGCAGGACAGGGCTTCCTTACACTCATCCTCACACTCCAAACAACCGCCTGGCGTCACCGACACAGCATTAGCACGTTACTTCACGGTGCTTTGAATGGAGCTCCAGGCAAGATGAAGAAAGCTCAGCTAAAACTTCTCATCGTCACATCTTCTCCGTGAGACAAGCCCACCGCAGCGGGCACCTCACGCTGCCAGATTCCCTTCCTGAAGCCGCTTTCAGGCACACAGCACCCCGGCCAGCAGCAGCCCTACTCGGAGCGCACACCCCGGCAAGACAGATGCCGGCTCACCATCGGCCCAGCCGCCGGCTTTCGGTCGCTTCGGCTCGGAGTGCCCCCCGCCCCGTGCCCCGCTCACCCTTGGTAACGCGCTTGGCCTCCTTGTAACGCGACCACAAGTAGCTCCTCATATCAGCGGGCGGCAGCCGCCGCTCCCGCTGCGGGGCTACGGTGCAATACGGAGCGGCGGCGACAGCGGGCAGGCCGCGGCCCCGCCGTCCGCAGCCCGCCCGCCCCACCGCCAGCGCGGATCGCGCCATCACAGCCATGATCCGCAAGCCGGCGGTGCGCCGCCGCCGGCTGAAGTCACTTCCTCGGGCTCCGCCCCGGGGCCGTGCCGAGGCGGGAGGCAGGCCCGACCCGGCGGCAGGTAGTGCCGGCCGCCCCGCCTGCCCGCCCCACAGACAGAGCGGGAGGCGCTGCCGTTTCACTGAGCGGCTGCGGCGCGGCGGGAGCGAGCGGCTCTCCGCAGCCGCAACAGTTCTGTCAGCGGTGCTGAACTGGGAACGCGTAATGCGAATAACGCCATAGAAACCCACAGAGCTGCTTGAAGGCTCCCACTAATAGCGGCACGCGAGCAGCTCTAATCAGGTGTGTTAACACATGTAAAGGAAAAAATACATAAGGCGTGGAAGGCAAGCAGACTTCCAGAGGTCCGCTAGCTCTCCCCAGGGACTTAACCAGCCGTGGGGCTGACACCCAATTGGAAACCCCTGTGCTACCCGAGGCCAGCCTGCGGTGGTTTCTTTAACTGCGTTTTGCCTGGTGAAAACGACCTGTTCCGTTCTCTCCCAATCCCATCATCTTAACAGCCAAGTTGGCACACTTTATCTGGGCTTTTGTCGGAACGGCTGTACTAGGTCCATTAATTCCACTGCAGTATATGGATGGGCCGTCATATGTGAGTGAGTTTGGGCAGGAGGCCACTGATCAGGGGGCACACCTGCTGGTGTATCTTGCATCTCCCAAGTTGCAGTCCAATGCAACTTTAAAGGATTAGCAGTGGACACGCAAGAGGGAAGGGATGCTATCCAGAGAGAGCTGGTCAGGGCTGAGAGGTGTGCCCATGCCGACCAACCTCACGAATTTCAGCAACACTGAGGGCAAGGTCCTGCACCTGTTTCAGTGCAATCCCAAGCACGGATAAAGGCGCGGTGGAGAATGGGTTGAGAGCAGCCCTGAGGACAAGCATTTGGGAGTGTCGTTTAATGATTCAACACGAGCCAGCAAAATGTGCTCGCAGCCCAGAAGGCCAACCATATCCTGCGTTGCATCAAGAGAAGTGTGACCAGCAGGTTGAGGGAGGTGGGTCTGCCCCTCTGCTCTGCTCTTGGGAGACCCCACTTGGAGTACTGCGTCCAGCTCAGAAGCCCCGAACACAAGAAGGACACTGAGCTGTTGGAGTGGGTCCAGAGGAGGGCCACAAAGATGGTCAGAGTGCTAGAGCACTTCCCCTGTGAAGAAAGGAGGAAAGAGCTGGGGTGACTGGATGCGAGAAGGCTCCAAGGAGACCTGATAGTGGCCTTCCAGTACCTGAAGGGGGCCTGCAGGAAAGCTGGGGAGGGACTTTTTAATAAGGGCACGTAGCGACAGGACGAGGGGAAAAGGCTTTGAACTGGAAGAGGGCTGATCGAGTCTCGGTAAGAGGAAGAAATTCTTTACTTTTACTGTGAGGGTGCTGAGACACTGGAACAGGCTGCCCAGCGAGGTTGTGGATGCCCCCACCCTCGAGGCATTCAAGGCCAGCCCGCATGGGGCTTTGAGCAGCCTGGTCTAGAGGGAGGTGTCCCTGCCTATCGCCGGGGGTTTGGACCTACATCGTCTTAAAGGTCCCTTCCAAGCCTAACCGTACAGTGACTCTATGGATGGGAGGAAGTGGAGCTGGGATTTGGGTGTAGAGGCCCGACCCCGAGCTGGGTGCGTGCCTGCCCTCCTGCGTCCAAGGAGCCACGCTGGTCCAAATCTAGGTGACACTCCCATCTGTAGTTTTTTTGTGGACAAAATAGCAAAGCACGCTTCTTGTATTTCAGTCTCCTACACAGTAAGTACTGCTGGTGGGAAATCAAAGCGGAGGTGAAGCTGAAGTACAGTGTTCCCCGTGACTATTAATAGTCTTTCATTAAACTCGCGTCCAAGGTTTCCAAAACCTTCTGGCTACTGCCATGTCTGCAGTAATTGGGACAAAAAGCCAGTCCTTCCTAAGCAGCAGCATCCAGTTGAGACCAGGACCTCCAGCGGGCCCTGCTGGTTTGGCTTAGCCTAAACCTGTCCCATCAGCTGTGGGAATGGCAACAGAATGCTGGTGCTTCCTGAGGTGCAGCTGCTCATTGATACCCAGCACCGTACCTTCAACTGGCCCTGCTGGCTTGGCCTATCCACCTGCCATGTACCAATGGAGAATGGGGAACAAAACGATGGGATCACATAAGCAGCAGCTGCACATCGATACCCAGCACCATGCCCTCAACCGGCCCTGCTGACTTGTTATATCTACCTGCCACATAACTACTGAGGATGGGGAACAAATGGCGGCATCCCAGAAGCAGCAGCTGCGCATTAATGCCCAGCGCTGTGCTTCCAACGGCCCCCTCCAGCTAGGCCTTTCTGAACACCTCAGATTGAAAGGTGAGAAAGGCCCCATAAGTGAAAGTAAAGAGGCAAGAAGGCTCCACAGTGACTGAGAATACGGAGGGTGAAGGGGAATAGTTAGAGATAGTTTATAGAAGCAAGAATGTAGAGCTTGTTAGAAAAATAAGGGATGGCAGACACTGTGACTGGGATAGTGAGGGGGATGAAGGCCATAAAGACAAGGGTTTAAGAACGGCCCGAGGACATTTGGCAGGGAGGTGATTAAATGTCCACAGGACAAGAAGAAAGCAGTTTGGGGGGATGCCCCCCCGAAAGGTCAGAAGTTTACAGTGAAAAAGGTCAGAAGCCTTCGCAAGGAAGACGACAAATCTTCATCCCATGACCCACTACGCAAGTGCAAGAGGGGAGGGTCTGCATGCTAATGAACTCTCAGCGGTATGATGAATATGTATCCGAATTCCGGGAAAACTATGATTATGTCTTAGTTCAGCCTATATCTGTAGCAAGATTTTTCCAGACTGTGTGCAAGTTAGGCAGATCTATCCACCTTGCACCCGGTGTCTGCGCAGCACTTGTACCTGCTTTGTAATCTTGGGTGACAGAGTTTGATTCCGCACATCAAGATGGATCCAGTACAGGGCCAGCAAGGTTGTCACTCCAAAGGACCCAAATCAGCAGTCTCCCGGCCCCAAGCAGAAAGTCTTCAGCTTGCACGACACCCCTGGGCCACCTCTGGGACAGTCTTGCCCAAAGATAGGTAACCTGGATCCTCATGGATGTCTGGAAGCACATCAGCGGCCTGAGCCTGCTGAGCATTGCCCATGGCCTCTGGAGAAGAGTAAGACGACTATGGGGACAGGTGAGCTACTGAGATGCATCGTGCAGGGACCCCTGCAAGGACTTGCTCTGCAGGGCAGTGCTCTGCAAAATGAGTCTGCATCCCTTTCACTGTGCCCATGCTCCGTCACTTCCAGGAAACGGGACCAACAGCCTCAGCCTCCAGAAGAACAGAGCACCGCGGAAAGGACAGCATCAGTGTTTCTGACTTGCTCCAACACACAGATGCTGAACTAGCCTTAATGGAGAGACACTTGAGGACCATCCTCCTCAACTCGCATCCAAGGTTTCCAAAACCTTCTGCCTACTGCCATGTCAGCTTCCTGCTTTGTCAGAGTGGCACCTAGAGGATTTCTCTGAGCTCTGACCCTCTGCCTTGACGAGATCCTAACCTGAAAAGGCCCTCCAGGACACACGCACGTAGGAATGGAATGTTGTTTCTGCATTAGATATTAAAAAGGGGGAATTGATCTGAGGAAGTAGAGCACAATGTATTTGTATTTTGTAATTTGTCCCTAGAAGTAGCTGATGTGAAAAAAGGAGGAATAGCACGTATGTTAGTAACACGCTTTAGAAATACAGTTGCTGAAGTGTGTGATTAATTCTTGCTTCCAAAACTGCAATAGTTTCTAAATGTTCCAACTAGTATAGGTATAGTATTATGGACTAGAAAGCATATTGTAGGGCTATTCGGCTTGGATAAGAGACCCTCAGCAAAAGAAAAACAGACTTAACAAACATCAGAGAAGCCAGGGCCTCCACACAAGGCTGGATTGCCTTGCTCTGCGAGTCGGTTGGGATGCAATAGGCAGGCATCAAGATACTCCCCCCTGTCCTCCTTCTAAGCTTCTCTATGCAAGGACAAGCAGATGTCCAGAAACAATGACCGAGTGTTGAATGAGCAAATGTGAGAAGTTTAGAGCTAATTTGCGATATATGCTTAGCCAGCAGAAATCTATGTTTAGCCAGTATCTGTGTGTTTAGTTGAGCGTCAGCAAGATTGTGAACCTGAAGTACTCAGCCACTGAGGAACCAGGGGAGAAAGAGAGAAGCGTCGAGTAAGAGGGCGTAAAAGACGTAACGCTGTTTTCTGCGTGCTCTCCTGCTTGCAGGAGGCCCGCCATTGCAATTGCGAATAGAATCTGCTTTATCAGAGATACCGTCCTGATAAATTATTTGGGTATTTCCAACAATTTGGGGGCCCGTCCAGGATCACTATCGCCTCCTTCACTGCCCTGGACAGGGTAGGTGCACCCTGCTGATTTTAGCAGTCCCGTCTGGGTGGTGAGGTGATTCCTTGGGATGGCCGATAGGAAACCGAGACTGCTGCACAAAGGACGGGCTGTGTGAAAGCCAAGGGGCAGGTAGGCACGGTATTGACCCCTGCAGACCCGGTAACTTCGTGCACGGACCAAGGAAGGGGAATTTAATTCTTGCCTTGGGGGTCGGTGGAGAGTCGGGTGAGTCTCGGGAGGGAGCTGTTGGTGTGCAATACCCTGGACGCTTGACAAAGTGCCAGCAGCACCCCCCTATTGAATCCGAGAATCGGAGCGAGGTACTCCAGAGGGATTGGGCCTAAATCCGAGAATCGGAGTGTGGTAACCCGTGAGCTGGGGAGTTCACAGCAGCATTCCGGAGGGATGGGGAATAGGAGCTCCCGTAGAACAGGGCAAAAGGGTCCCCAAATTCATGCCTAGAAATAGCCCCTCAGGAAAGAGGCGTCAGAATTGGAAAATAATCCCCAAACTAGGGAAAAGAACGGGGAAAAGATGTTTAAATACTGTATACAGACATAGCCTAGAGAGCCACTACAGGGAAAATCATTATTTTGACCAAAATAGGGGTCT